GTTAAAAATAATACCCAGCCTGATTGAAGCAGTGTTGAACACCGTATTGCTCTAACATCAGAGCACTTTGCTGTAAGGACAATTCATTTTTTTCCCCACATCTTTGTACAAGCAAACAAAATTCACAAGGGGGATTTAATATTCCTATCGCAAGTTTTGGTCTTGTTTTACAAAGGATACTTGACCTTTTCCTGTCACTGTGAGGATAATGCAGGCACTTCCTGGTACTGGTTAAAATATCTGGAATTGAATTGCAGCACTTCTCAAAACGATGTTACTTGTTAAACAACAGAAGTTGTACTTGGCTTCTTTCTAAATTCGGACAGTTAGGAAGAGGATGCTATTCTTTCCCTGTTACACTGTTGGAGAGTGCATAGATGCTTGCCTCTTGGTTGCTATATTGATGAACTGTTAATGGAGAAGTATCTGCCTGTCCCCTGAAACTCAGTGAGGGTCCTCACAGCAATGAAACTCTGTGGCAGAGTTGGATTCTTTAAACTGGAACATTCCTTGAGTATTGTTTTCAGTATCTCCACGTAGTATATTGTAATGGATACTGGTAAAGCCCTAAGAAATGAAGTTTTAAGACTTACTTGAAAAGAATGTGGCTCTTTGTAACACGTCACCTTTCCATTTTATGTGCCTTCTTCTCAGATACTGTCTTCCATTGAATTGCTGCAACATTCTTTACCCAAGATCAACCGGAGTGCTTCCGAACCATCTCTGCACCGCGCATCCCATACAGAGGACATAAATTCTTGCACGTTAACATCCACAAGACTGCCTGTTTTTTAGGATTGTGCTCCCCTTCCCTTGATCTCTCCAGTGATGGGAAAGGAACAGAAGTAACAGAAGTTGTGCTTTTAATGCCTCAGTGTACAGGATCAGTGACCAGCCGGATCATCCGCATCCCCGTTTAAGAACAAGCTGCTAAGGATGTTTGCAGTTCTTACCCTGCAGGGACAAAGCTCCACATTGCCTTTTTCTACAGTTTCTTCTACTGGGATAGTTAACAGACTACAAATCAAGAGATCTATTACTATTTTTTTAATAGATGCACTTGAGCCTTATTTTTCCCACACACAGAAGAGATGGATGTTTCTTTGGCAGTGTTTCTGGGTTGATTTGAATCTGCTGATAAACTGGTATTTTTTACAGCAGGGATGACCTGCCTTGGCACTTGAGGGAAGAAAGATGATGTGATCTGGTGCTCTCTGATTGCCCCGTGCCGCTTCACGTCAGGGGACTTTTGCTGGAAATGGGTATCTGCAAACAAGACTGAGGGAAGAAGAAAAAAACTTTCTGGAAATCAGCTCCTGCCTAAGAGCTTTCATCAAGCCAATGAAATAAGTTAAAATGCTAATTCAACACAAAATAGTTTTGCAATAGTTTTGCACGTAGAAAAAAAACTCTTGCAAAGGAATGGAGTATATTCTAAACTGTACTGCTCAGAGAAGGAAGCTAGCCAGTCTTGCTATGGTCATCTTTGGTAACTTAAGCGGCTTATTTTGGTACTACGGACTTGTTTCTTGCAGCCCAATGAGGTGGAAAGTGCAGAAAGACAGGCTTTTGTGGCTGATAAAGGCTAATTAACAGTATCAGTATACTTCTGCAGAATGAGCATAGTTTTCATCCCATCTGAAGCTGTCGTCCAAGAGATGCACTATCAAGAGGAAACTGAGCATATACAGTTTTTCTTGCTGATTTGGGTTTTAATTTTGTTTTTATTGCTCCTGAGAAAATGCATTTATTGTAAGCCAAGGTTCCTCTGATTATCTTATTTTAATAAAATAAATTAAATTTTAGGTTTAAGATTCAATATCATCATTTAATGTAGTAATTCATATTTTGACACACACATTTACATCTAAAAAGTTCAGGAAATAACATTCTGAATAATTTTTAGGATAAATATTAACTGTACCAGTAAAAATAGATAAAATACTAGATGTGACAACCTATCAGTTTCCATTCACTTTACTTACAGACTGGTTTTGATGTTACTGTAACAATCTTTCAGCAGCATCTACTGGATACATACACTGATAAACCATCAGGTGAGTTACCTGCACCACTTCTCTGCATTGTATCTTCTGGGAGCCTGTGTTTTTTCCCTTAGGTATTTCCCTTAGGTGTTTTGGTCAAATCAGGCAGCAGGTGACCAGAAATAGGTGGTCTGATCTAAGAATTACTTTTTGAAATAGTATTCTGTTCAGGTAGAGGAGAATTTAAAATACATAAGCCAGGAATGTACTGGTTAAGTAGCTTGACTGTCCTTAGACCATCACCCAGGGATTAGGATTTCACCCTTATAACCGAGCATTACCATAAAATGTGCATTTGGCAGTGATGGAAACAGTGCTGTATACAGATCAGCATGCTTTTCAATAGTGTTCTTGTTATTTTAATTGCAGCCCTTTCTCTCTCATTTTACCTTCATTTTAATTAGTGTTGCAAAAGAAGGAAGCATGAAAAAAAGGAGGTGGTGGAGTCACAGTCCCTGGAGGTGTTCAAGAAAGAGGCAGATGTGGCACTGCAGGACGGGGTTAGGGGGCAGCAGTGGTCTGTTCCAACCTTCATGGTGCTATGATTCTATGAAAGGTTGCTCTTAGTTTAGCACTGAACCCCCAGAAGGAACCTAATTGTTCCTTCTTATTTAATACAGGTTCTCTCTCTCTGGAAAACTTTTTTTTTAAATAAAAGGAGAATTATTTTGATTAGTATTTGATGTCAACCTAGAGTTTGAAAGCTGTAAAATGAAGAATGTAGAAAGTCCAAGTCTGTCTTACTGCTTGCACATTAAAACTTCATGTAATTGCTAGGCAGCGTTGAAAAACAAGTTACCTTACCTTTTGTACATCAGATTCTTGTTTCCTGTTTGGTTTTCTTTGAGCAAAGTAACAGGAATGCCCTGTCTAAGGAACGGAATATTCTCTCCACTTACTATTTTTTAATGTATTTCATTGCTGAAAATATTTATCTGAAAAAAGTGTTGGAACAGCTAAAAAAAGCTTCAGTGGGGAGACTGAGGGGTGTAAGTACATATTTTCAAGTAGAAAGTATGCAAGAAAGAGCGCTCATCTTACAGAACTGCGTCTCTCAGCTGTACTTACCTTCCTTCACCTTTTTTAATGAGTGATGAGGAGTTGCACTGCAATATCAATATCATTTACTAGATTAAGCCCATCACTTGTGCCTCCAAATGCCAGTTTTAAAAAGAAGTTGAGCAGTAAGTGGTGACAGATATTTACAAGCTAAGGACTGACTTTAGAGTAAGCATTGTTAAAAATTGATTTTAGTGTAGAAATAATCATGAAAACATCACTACATTTCCTAGATCACAACTGAGAGCAAAATTTGCACATTCACTCTTGGGAAGCTGTTACGCAGCAGAGGTGGAAGTTGTCTAAAAAAACCAGAGGGACAAGGGGCGTTTTACACAAATGTCTCTAAATGCACTTTGCTGCATTACATTTTTTGCCATCTCAATGATCAAGCTTTCTCAAATGCTTGAGTCTTGAAACAGGCGAGCAGCCTTACAGTGATAGCAGTGTGTTCATAAGGGTAGCAGAAATATCGGCCCTGTGCTTGACTTTCAAGGTTGCCTGTTGCACTTGCATGGAAAAAAATCTTTGCTTGCACTGAAATACGCAGTAGCCAGTTCAATTGGCTCTAGACCAAACTTTAACTGCAGAGTTGATACAAATGACTCAGCAGAAATAACTTCTTACAAACTGCACATTCGTACCATGAATTGCTTTTGCTTTTTAAAAGAGAACTTAAAATGATTCTCAAAGCTTCAGCAGCTCAAACATGAATCAAAATTTAAAGAAAGAATCCACTAACATTTGACTCAGAAGATGTGCTTTAATACCTGACCGCCTTGACCTTGACCAGTGCTTCCTTCTGATGAGAACAAGGTCCTGCAGGTAGGCAGCTGGAACTTCACCTGCCCTTTAAATAACATAACTGCCAGCTGGGGCTAGAGGTACCTGAAAGTAGGGCTGTCCTGGGACTACAGGGCAGAAGGACATGACTTGGTATGCTAGAAATACATGGCAGTGGAAAAGCCCTAAGTATCTGCTGCCCCTACAGGACAGGTAAGCAGTGGTCAGTGTTTCTTTTTTGACTGAAATGATTTAACGTGGTACAGATGCAAACTGTAAGATCACTGATAGAGGTGATTTGGACAGAATGTTAGTTACCTCATTTAATTCTTGCTTCATTTAACCCAAATGAAGGTTTCCCTTTGAATTAAATAAGCGTACAAAAAATTATCTTACCATTTCAATTAATATTGAAAGTTACTGACTTCTTACGCAGTGTCCAGTACCAACTTGTGCTGCAAGTATCATTTATCTGGGCATTTTGACTCCAGCATTGGAACTACAGCTCTGCCTGGAGGTAACAAATTGCATGTGCTTTACAGCAGGTGCTGTAGGAAACCAGGAGACCTTTCCTGTAACCATGCACTTCATTATTTTACAGTGGAGGGAACCTGATTTGTGCTGTCTCTGACAGCCTGGCAGTGCCCATTACTGAAGCACTCACTGTAAGAATACACTGAGCATTACTCAGAACTCTAGATACTTGGTATTTTTTTTAAGAAAGGAAAAGCTACACGGATCATTATTCCTAGTGTGTTTCTGCAGATATACATTTAGTTCATTTAGGGGGAAATAAGCACCCTCAAAAGATACAGCAACAGTTTTTAACACCTTATGCTTTAAAAGGCAAGAGAGCAGCTGCATGTAACAAGACCATTCAATTTACAAGGCAGCGTATGTTAGGGCAACAAGGAAGGGAACCCTCTTGGGATCAAGGGATTTTTTTCCATGCAATCAATTTAACTTTTTAAATATAATTTAGTACTTTTGTTGCCATACACCAACTATCTGAAAACTTCACCAGGACTGCACAAGTAGGACCACAGGGCACATTCAGTCATTCCAGCTGCGCTGTAAGAAGTAAAACCACTGCTAAATAAATAGCTAGATTGCTACAGAAGAAAGCACATTCGCTTGCCTTTATTGAGAAGTAGCAGAATCCTCCTCAGCCCCAGAAAGGTGCATGAAAAGTTCTCCAAGTTCTGTTACTTGATCATCTGTACTGGTCACAGTCCTACTTTCTCTGTCTTCAATAAAGTCCCACAGACGAACAGAATTGAAGAACTGCAACAGAATAAAATCTGATTTAGCTTGGCACAGGCCAATTAGAAGTTTTTTCCCCTTATCAGTCATCTTTCTTCATTTAATAAAAAAGTTGAGACTGAGAAATTGGTATTTATTAATAGTATCAGCAGTATTTGCTGAGAAAGTAAGTGACAACCACTCCATTGTTAGAACATAAGTAATAGTTCATGTCTAACTGGGCAGCAGTAAGGAGCTGTATCAGTACTGCTAAACTAGAAGGCCTGTCTCGACCATTCCAGATGCTGGCTGAAGCTACAATGAGACTTTGACAAGGCTTTAACCATTTTAGCTGTGAATACGACCAGCTAGGTCTAGGCAAGCAATACTCATTTTTAATACCACTGTAAGTAGAAGCTTTAACTGTAGAATCTCCTTGAAAAAAGATCTGCAATGAGAAGCACTGGTAAAAAAAAAAGATGAAATCTTGCTATTAAATGAAAGGTGCCTTCTCTTCCAAACAAACCTCTGCCTCAAGGAAAGCTGAGGGATACTTAACTTTTCTGAGGCCATCCATTGTATGAAAGTACTTTAAGTAGTGCACTCTATATTCAAGAAGCGTTTTCAATTACTGACTGGAATATTTCCTTACCCGCACGGTTCCCTCAGAGCTGAGCTGTTTCCTTGGTTTCTCAGGTTCAGCTCGTGTCCCATCTGGATAGGCATGAAGGTAAAGACACTTCCCTCCAAATGGACAAGTTCCTTTCCCTTGTTCAAAGTATTTGCAGGGTTTTTTCCTAATTCAAGGAGAAAAAAGTTGCTGCCTTCAGCTAGTGAGGAGGCAGATCACTTTGTACTGTTACCGCTGCAGCTGCTAGTACCATTAACATACCAAGAGTTCTGATCTACTCCTTAACTGGTAACAGTTAAAATAGATTGGAAAGAAATCTAAGAGTGGACAAAGAAATACATAAAAGAGCACCATCGTAAGTTCAAAAGAATACAATCTTAAGACACTGAAATTGAATGATGTTGAAAGAATGCCACCTATCCAGCACAGTGCGTTTCTATCACAGGGAACAAACCCACTGCTATTTTTGTAGCATTCCTCCCCAGTGCACTGATCACTTTGTTTTTATGAATGAGCTGAGTTCCTCTCATCGTTATCTTTGCAAGTTCTGTGGTAACAATTCTATCATTAAGTTTTCAGCAGCTTTGCTGTTCTACGAAGTTGCTGGAGCTGTGTAACCACCTTCTAGAAAGGTTATTGGGAAGGGGTGGTGCGACGGGTTGTTCTCCAATGAGAAGTATCTGGAGGAAACTACAGACAAATGGCAATTGAACTTGTGAACAATGTGCAAAAGGCAATGAAACTGATCCCTATAACCTAAACAAAGCTTATAAAATAACTAATACATGGAGAAGAAACCACTACAAAAGAAAGAAAGACTACCCCAGAGCAGGCAGTGCATTCAAAAGTGGAACTGATCTGTCTTGGAAACCTGAAGTCACAGAGCACTTGTGTTCTAACCTAAGTCAGTCAGGATTTTTCCTCCTGCAGAATGGATTTGTGCCGTGAGAACCCCTGCTCTTAGACTTCCCTTAAACAAAAATATTATTGGCATTTTTTCCATGAATAACATATCCAAACTAACTGCTATGAGATCATAAAACCCTCCATACAGAAATTATAACACGTGTTAGTCTTAGCTGAGCACATAAAGCAAAAACCCTTTTTGTATTCTCAAAATACAAAACCAAAAGCCAAAACCCAACTTGTAGTACCACTACCTAACACCACTTTTCCAACAAAACAAGTCTACTTACGTAGAATGTAGTCATTTACAAATCACTCAGCCAAGATTTTTAGCACAACTTATTATCCTCAATACAAACTCCTCTAGAATTAAAATATAAAACCACAGTGGCAACATGGTATTGAAAACAAACAGTATCTGAAGCTCCTCAGCTGCCCAAAGAGGTTGTGAAGTCTCCCACTGAAGATATTTCAAAACCCAACTGGATGTCTACCTGTGCAACCTGCAGTAGGGAGCAGGGATCTCCAAAGATCCCTTCCATCCCCCACAACTGTGTGATTCTGTGATTTTATTCAACTACTTTGTCTGACAATGAATATAAAGCAATAATATACATACAAAGCTGGTTTGAACATTTAATGGAGTACTACTGCTTTCAGCAATTCTGCTGCTAAGTTGTAAGCCAAACCCCCCCAAGAAGCTGAAGAGCTGGTAGGACAGCTATGCACAGATTCAAGTAATACCTTCACAGACTCCATAAGGCAAGTTTTAAAAGTTGGTGCGTGTCACAGTTAATCTGTGCACCATTTCACAAAACAGTCATGACTCGTTTGTGTCAGGCATAAACCTGCTTGTTTCCCTTTAAAGAGTGAGGTAAGTAATGGTTCCTCATTGTGCTGTGACAAAGTGACCCTCAGGTTCTCCAGACAAGCACAGCTTTGCAAAGCTGCTGTAACACAATGCTTTTGCAGACCTCCCCAGTGCTCCAATCACCAGGCAAATCTTTATCAGACAATAAAGGGATTGCAGTGATGCAGTATTTTACATTTCCAGTAGCTGTTACAAAAAACCTATGAATTTGTATCCCATATTTCAAGATGCTATCGTAAAAATTAAGTTTTCCTTCCTCATTTGTTTTCCCCAGTGTGTGACAACCTTCCAGGCAGTTACGTCCAACAGAAGGCACGTGTCTCTAGCTTTGGCAGGTGAACTGAAATAGCCTCAACATTTCCGAACATGAGTTCAAGTACCTTCTGAACTATAATTACAACAGACTGATAGCAGTCACAAAGTTCAGCTAATAAAGAATGGTGTGCTGTTACGAGTGATTAAGAGTTATGTGTAGAACGGATTGCAAAAGGTTTAAAAATAGAGGCATTTTGATTGATTAAGCCTTGGTGAATCTCAAGGACAACGTAAGTAGCATTTTGGCTGATGAACTTACCCCACTCCCTGCTTAAATGCTTCAATCAGCTCATTTTTTTTCTCCTGGTCTTCTACCCAATAAGCGCTGGGAATGACGAACTCCGATATCACACGGCACTCTGGGCAAGACCTGAATGGATCAAGACAAAGAAGCAGAGCTTTATTACTTTCTGAAACCAATTCTCAGTGTATCGGCCCAAAACTGCAGGTTCCTGAGCAAAAGGGAGATGGTCTGCCAGGCTGATGCACTGGACAACTTCACAGCACATATGGGCACGACTGTTACCAGCTTCAGCTGAAATAATCCGGCTGACTCATAGAATGACTTGGGTTGGAAGGGACCTCAGAGATCATTTAGTTCCAACCCACTGCCACAGGCAGGGTTGCCAAATGCAGTCGGCCTTGTGCTGCTTTGCATTTATTTCAAGACTTGAACAAAATAAACAGACGTTTCCTGAAGAAATGTGGCTAAAGATCCAGTGCACAGAAATAAAGTACCTGCCAAGCAAGTACTTCAGCTCACAAACAAAAGAAAGCCAAACCAGATGCATGACAACAAGGATTTTCCCTAAGCCTGACCTGCACTCTGCCAGAACTGAGGAGTTGTTAACTTAGTGGTTTTATAAGATAGATTTCTTTATTAGGATTTAAGATCAAGAATCAAATATGCACCTTCTGGTGCCTCGAGAAGCATTACTACTCCTGCCATGCAAGTCTCACAGAACACCTGGTGTCTCTGCAGGCAGTGCTTTTCAGACTGATCCAAGCCCCTCTTTCAGAGAACCTTTGCAAAGACCAGTACACTCACTATTATGAGTAAATACAGAAAACACATTTGAGGAATTTGCTTTAGTATCTACTCCACCACAAACGTGGTTCCAGAGCACTATTTCGTATGAAAGCCACAGTCCCTGCTGTAGGCACAGTATCTCAGTGCCTGTCTGTCAGAAGCTTTGCTCCAAACAGAGCTTACACTGCACTGAGATAACTTTCACTTCAAGGCAACTATTAAGGGAAGTTTTGCAAAAGAGTTTACTTTGGCAGAGGAATGAAAATATTTCCTACCTCTTCCTCAGTGTGCTTGTAACTTGGAAGAGCTTTCAAAGAGATTCTAAAAAAGGAAACTGCCCTAATTGGTTGTTTAAAATTCTTTCTAAGGAGGAGTATGTTTGGAATACACTTTATACACATCTAGAAGACAAAGGAATTTACTCAGACACAGATGTGCAATTAATGGGAGATCTAGCTTTAGTAAGCTATAGTTTACAAAAAAAAATGCAGTAATTAAGCACACACATATAAAGGAAAGAGTTACTGTTTGTGCAAATGAGCTCCCATGAGTGAAGCAGGGACATGAGTTAACTCAGTATTCTGCAGTCCACATTTGCACTTTGCCCCATTGTCAATGCAATGACAGAGGCTTAAGTTACAAAGGGCCAACATGCTGGACTCAGCACGTAGGCACTGTTAACAAAGGATAGCTGATGCATCCTACCTGGCCTTGAAGGTAATACTGTGCACATTTGTAGCACTTGGACCAAGATTTTCTGAGCTGGTATTTTACTAATGGCTATGCTAATATTTACAGCTACCAGATCTCTTATGACCACATGTATTTCTCTATCAAGTCAAAGTACAGCAGAATGCCCACCCCACTGACACAGGTCACAGAGACAACGGGCTGGTTAACGTGAACTTACTTTATGATTGGATTCTCAAACTGCTTGGCACACCTCCACTGCCGGATGCAGGACAAACAGTATGTGTGATTGCAGTTGGAGAGGATCCCAAACCTCCTCTCTGAGGCTGATGGCTTTTCATACACCACTTCCATGCAGATGCTGCACACTTTGTCCTGACTTGCCTGAAAGGCAAAAGCCTTCTCCATCTCATGCTCAAACGTTGCCATGCACATCTGTCACAGGAGAGATATCATTGGTTATTGTACTTTATATATTGGACCATTCTTCGTAAAACCAGAGTGTCTGACATGGATCTGTTACAGGAAAAACACAGTAGGCTAATTAAGAGCATCCCTACTATCCTTCATCATAATTATCATCATGTAATTGTAAGATCTTTATGGATGATCACATAATTCCATCTTCTCATGTTCCCTGCAGCTTTGTAGGTATCAAAGGAAGGGCTGCCTAAACACTTAATTTACACCTGCCTGCATCTGTACCAGAACAGCAGTTAGGCAAGGCAGTGCTTCAAATATCCCCAAGTCCCATTTAATTCATAGTCCGGTATGGATGCTGCACTCAAGATGTTACTCTGTTTATTGTTAAGGCCTCAGTCACCAGGCACTAAGCTTTATCCTAGATAAGGAATTGGTGTCTTACTACGGGCTTCCTACAGCATTTCTCACACCGTACTCAGTGATATATCATTTGCTTTTACAGCACTACAAGCTGAGCCTTTGGTTATCCCCCATAGCTTTACCTCTTCTTTCTGAGATTCTCGGGACTTGACAAGTTATACATATTCAGCAGACTTTAAATAATAATAATTTTTAAAAGACCAGAGAGTAATTCCACATTAACAGCAGCACTTTCACTACTGCACCTTTCCATCCAACAGACATCTCTGCCTCCAGAGCTGAGCACCTGGCAGCAGTGGTAACAGCACACTGTGCCAGACGTCAGACTCCTGGGACAAGAGAACCACATGGCATGTTTGGAGCTACGTGCCGAGATCACATAACATGAGATTCTGGTAATCTGGATTCCACTCCTGGCACTGAAGAGACTTCTGATCCAGTAACCACTAAAGCTTCTGGTCATTCTCCTCCTCAGTCTCGAAAACTGCTGTTCCTGACCAGCCCTGACACAAACCCAGTGGCCAAGCATACTGAAGAGCAGCCTCTTACAGCCACCTTTACCCAAGCAATTCCTCATGCACTTTCCCTAGCCTTCCTAGTTAGAGATCACCTCCAAAATCTTCACGCTCTGCTCAGGGTCTCCCCATCTTACACTGCCCTGGAAGTGGCCACACACAAGCAGGGATACCTGAAGCAGTGACCCAGCAGACAGGCAGGGCAATTGCTCTGAACTCACCACAGGCTATGGTCCCTCTCCCCCATCACACACAAGGGACCACTACAACCTCCTGTCAGCTACAAAAGACATCTTCCTAAAAGAGTTCTAGGGTACCTGGGGACAAGGCAAGTTTCCCATAAGAAAGGGGAAAGAAAAAAAAAAAAAAAAAAAAAGGAAATCACTGTAACATGCTGTCAGCATCAATGTTACCACTGAGGTCCTGGATGTTTGTCATCCTACAGACAGATAAACCACAGGCTATTCCACAAAACACACCTCTGGATTTTTAAAAACAAACAAACCAAATGTAGCACTAAGCACACACATTTCACAGATTCTGTGTTAACATTACCATCTCATGAGCTTTCCTCTGTTCTTGGTCAAAAGGGTGAAGCACTTGCAGCCCACATATTTCACACACGTCCCCATGCAGGTAAAGGCAGCGGTCCCCAAAGTGGCACGCTCCTGCTGCAGCATAAGGACACAGCTGCTCTCCATCACCAAAGGAACTTCCAGCTACTGGATCTTCCAGCCCACTGCAAATAGCTTCCAAGTATGAATGGGGCTTCATTTCCACATTATCGTTTTTGTCACTGCAACACATCACATCATTCGTTGCACTGGCTTTTTCCTTCTCTTCATTCAAGCCACACAGGTCTTAAGAAAGAAAAATGTAATATTAACAATTCAACATACAGCACAAAGCCTACATAAGAAGCTCCCTATATTTTCTTTCCAATGACTGCAGTTTTTTGCTTTAAAAACGTCTTCTAAATAAAATCTCAGCCTTAAGCCTCTTTCAATCCTACATTACAATTCTCACAAACCACTTGTTGAAAAGATCAGTTTCAAGGTCTCTTCTTCAGCTGCTCTCTGTTTTACAAACATGGTAAAAATACTTCACACAGCACACGGGTATAACTGGCCCACTCAGCGTGACAGAGAATCTGTCGGAACAGCACCAGCAACAGGGCTCAGCTGCTCTGCCCTGGGGCCTCAGGCAGAGGGATGGACGTCTCTGCCCTTGTGCTTCTGAGCACTGCCACCATCCTCCACTCAGCAATTATTTCAAATGCCCTCTCATTGAGAACAAAATGCACGAAAAGATCTGATGGGTAGGGATAACAAACAAGAAACCCATCCCTAACCAAAAACATCTTTCAGGACACACCAGGTTAAAAGCCAGTCAGTTAAACACTGTCATTAAAAGGTACCAATAGGCACAAGTGTTTAGAGGAAAGGGGCCTCAAAAGATAAGGAAGATCTCCAGCACCTCTTTCCCACTGTCCTTGAAACTGAAGTTAAAAAAAAAAAAATGTGAAAAACAACCCAACTCCTATCAGAACCAGAGGACAACATCAAGGATAAGCACAGCAGCCTCCTACTCACTTCTGTCCCTGAGAACAAGTGTTTTCTTCTCCCGTTTGCCATTCTCACGCTGCTTGCTCTTGGTTGCAGGTGCACTGCGCTCTGGTGCAGGGCGAGGGCTGAGCAGCGCTGCTGATGCCATGGGAGGAGGCACAGGAGCTGCTGCACCCCCCGAGGCGGGGAGCCTGATGTGGTCGTACCTGTGACAAATAGAGTCTCTTTCAGTCTCTTTCAAAGCCAGACTGAAAGTCTTCTCAGCCTCAGCAAATGGATGCCTCTGAAAGCACATCAAGATTTTTTTGCTAATTTTCTAGGGAGGCCCACCACAGCTGAAAGACCATCATTCAAGTGCACATTAGATCAGGTCTTCGTCATCCTCACACAAAGAGCTTTGTTGACATTTTTCTGAGAAGCTAAATTAAAAAGACATGCAATAAGGACTGATGTGATCTCATTCTCCCTGTCCAAGCAGGACACGGGACTTCCTGCTCCATACTATCGTGATGTCATGTTTGCACACAGGACAGAAAAGGTTATGAGCGACTATGGAAACATGCTCTCAGCAGCAGAACAGAAGCAGGCAGTACAGTACAGAGGTTTCTCTAGTAAAGCCATAGACATCACCAGCTCATATGCATCCAGGGCCCTCCGCTGTTCCAACACTGCTGGAGCAGCAGATTAACACTCTGCAGCTGCCTTCAGCAGCTCCATACAATGCTAATTCCATCTTAGCAGCTTATGAGCTGCAGAGCTCACTGAAATGCAGCTGGATGCAGGTCTGACACCACTGGCAAAACCCAGGGAAGGAACACAATGCAGCAACTGCAGCCACACAATACCCTGACACCTCTGGCTGCTGGTGAGTGCAGACACAGGATTCCGTATCCCAGCAGCATGGCTTTGGGAAGAAGCCCCAGATCTGCAGCACACTGCTGATGGCACAGAACATTCCCTAGCACACAGCAGTTACCAGAGCACCAGAGTTTTAACCCAAACGCCGCAGCAAAAGACACAGAAACACTGCCCACAAAGCTGAGGGGAGCACAAAGAAAACCCTCTTCACTTTAAGGCAGAACCACAAGTCCTCCGATCTCAGCACTGGGATGTGCAGGAACACAGCTGTGAGGTGCACCCTGCAAAGCAGCACTGCCCAGCACTGCAGGGTCACTGCCGTGCCTTGTGCCCACAGCCAGCCTCGCGGCCTTGGCGCTGCCTCCTGAGAAGCCACACAGCCGGCATCCTGTGTTTAGTGCCCAGCTCTCCTCACATGAGGAGAACCGGGTGAGAGCATGAGACCCTGACTCCTCGTTTCCACAAGACAAGATAAGGCCCAGTCAAACCGTAACACTACACCACGTACGCTGGCTTCAGAAGGGGGAGAAAAGCTCGCTACCAATGTATTATTCCGTCCTTTTCGCCGCTCAAACGCCTCATCCCTCCTCGAGCTTCGAGTCCCCCCGGCTCCTCACAACGCACGGCACCGGCTCTCACCTGCAGCGGGCTCCATAGGCGCACTGCCCCTTCTGGTAATACTTGCAGATGGTGGAGGACTTGCTGCTGGACAGGTCGTGCGAGAACAGACACTTGCTTCCCTCGCGGCACACTCCCTGCACGTAGTACCTGTGGAGAAGCACCCGGCCCGGAAATGGATTCTCTCTGGAGGCGCGTTCCCGCGCGCGGCGCGCCGCTCCGGCCCGAGCCCCTCCGAGGCGCGGCGGTTCCGCGGGAGGAGCTCCCGGGTCACCTCACCGGTCAGAGACCCCGTCCCCGGCGCGAGGGCTCGGCGCTCACCTGCACGTAACCTGCTTGACGCTCATCCTCGCCCCGCTCCGGCCTCCCCGCCCGGCCGGCTCCGTGCGCCGCACACCCAGGTTCCGCTCCGCCGCGGGGAAGGGGCGGGGCCGACACGGACACAATTACCCGACGCGCCGCACAACCGAGACGCGTCTAGGCGGGCTAGAGCGCCGCTCCGCCATGGAGACGGCCGCCATCCTGCGCGTGCGGCACTGCGGCGCCGCCATCTTCTGCCGCCGCGCGCCCCCGCTCTGCCCCGCCTGCGGCCGCCCCCTGCGCGGCGCCGGGCTGCGCGCGGCCCCCGTGCGCCTCCCCTGCCCCTTCAGCGACGGGCACCGGCGGCCCCACGCCTTCCTGCTGCGGCCTTCCGTCGGCAGCTTCCTGGGGTACGGAGCGCGGTATACGGGCACTGCGCGGCGGCGGGCAGGGGGGCCGGCCAGGGGAGTAAGTAGTGCCGGGTCTGGAATGGAAGCGTGCCCTCGGTGGGAGCCGAGCGCTCCGCCCGCTCCATCCCCGCCCGCGGGACAGCGAGGAGAAGCAGCCGCCGTTCCAGAGACACCGGCGGTTCTGACGGGACGAGCGCGGCTCACACCTCACAGGCTCCGTTTTTGTTTCAGAGAATACGACGGGAACTCTGATCTCCACGTCGGAATATCCAGCGCTCAGGGTAAAACGCATTTCGTAGCTGGCTGCCGGCACTCCGCCCAGCTCCTGCACCTCAGACACCGGCGCTGCACGGCAGCCCTGCTGGAGCACGGTGCAAACACGGGCTGAGCAGCACGCCGTTACTGCCTGTACAGCACCACACGGGTCAAAACCCCACATCCAGTTAGTTATCTTGCCTTGCAGAAGCCAGCACGTTGAGTGAGTCAAAGCCATACGCCACTCTTCTCCCAGTTCCACCTCACTGCAAGGAATGGAAGTAACAGGTGACCTGTATTCGCGACAAAGAAATAAAAGCAAGGCAGCAGAAAATTCAGGAGAGAACGCTATTGCTAATTCTGAAGTCATCCCTAATTAAACAAATGTGTTGACAGTCATTACAGGTTCTCAGAGCACAGCAGCCCAGACAGACAGCTCAAGCGAGACACTGCAGGAACAGAAAAACAGTCTGGTTTTGAGGCTTCAAGAAGAAGCCTAGCAGTCCTGTGAAGTTGTTTTCCTTATCAAAAGATCTTATATTACCTTGTAAAAATGAGAACAGTTCTTTGACAAGTAAACACTGCACTTTCTACTCTAGTTCTAGAAGGTCTCCAAAGGGAAGCTAGGGTTTAAAAGAGTGGCATTAATAGTAGCTCACTTAAAAACGCACATGAATCCATTTTCTCCAGTACTACCTGTCAACCTGTTGCTCTTTATTTTCAGGAGTGGTGTATAATTACAATGAAGAGGGCATTCACAGAGATCCAACCGGATGGGAGCAGTGCATTAGTGTCCCACTAGTACAGCCAGATATGTTTGAGCTTCTTCAGCAGTGGGATCACCTTCTAGAGGAATTTTCTATGGGAGAGGAGTGGCTTCCTCATAGGTATGTAGCTGAAAATGTGAATGCGATAGGAGTTAAGTTAGGATGATAAATTAGGCTATTCTGTTTTGGATCCTTCAGCTCCTTCAAACACATCATTAATTACAAAGCAGTCTAAACTCTTCCAGATTGTCTTGAAACTCAGTGAACTTGCTAAACAAAAAACCCAATGTTTTTAAGTACGTAAACCTTAAAAGATCTGTAAGAGAATATATGAGAAGTTTTCTTCAGCAACAAAACAACTGCATGAAAAACAACACTTCACTGGAACACTACATTTAACAGTATGTGAGAATAAGCAAGGCTAGAGAGGTTTCAGCAATTACAGTAATATAAGGAGATGAAAGAATTTGACCCAGATTGGAAGTGTATATGAAACACAAACCTATTGGTTTTACAAGCATCTTTGACATTTCTCCAACTCCCAGTGCATTAAAGTTATTAGTAAAATTAAATTGATGTTAAGCAATGGTAGAAAGTGAGTAGATGTATCCATCTTTTCTACCAGGTTTTCTTCTGTTTTCCCTGTCAGCCACCTGATAAAGCCACCTAGTTTCCCAAAAATAAGACCAGTGACCACTTCAACTGCTGAAAACTGGACTTTAAGATGTTAAATCTTAATGCTTATTTTTCCAGTGGACCGGAACTGTGCTAAACTAATCCTGTAACTAATTTTAATTTTCTTGTTTACTTTCCATTTAATTTGTATGAAGTATAAGAGTATAAGAGACCAACAAAGAACAGTGGCCACAGACATGACTAACATCTTAAGTTACTGAGATACTAATTTTCTTTGACAAGACAAATACACGCTTTCCAAAAAAATCAGGTGCTAACTAGAAGACACAGATGGGTAATGAGAAGTGTATTACAGAATCTTTTGCATTATAAATACAAATAGGTTCTGCAAACAAAATCATGGAACTGATTTAGTAAAGCACTGTTTGCTCACGTTTTGTACAAGTTTCCAGAACATGCTGCAGTGCTCTGCAGTCTCAGCACCGAGCCGAAGTGTTGCCAGCACTTTTGCAATGCAATTACCAGTTGTTTTGCACTGCATGATGATGATGGCCACTCTTGGAAGCTCCTCCTATTTTTTTTTTGTTAAAGTAAGTACACTGTAGCAAATTCTTGCTCACTTCATGGGAGCTCATAGGTCACTCCAGATAGCCTTAACAAACCAGGGGAGCTTTGAAGAAAACAGGGAGAAATCCTGAACTGGGTTGAGGGCTGCAGGGTTGCTTTTGATAGCTATAGTCTTCATAACTTGCAAAAAAGCCTGGTAAATTCCCAGAGCTGATGTGCAAGCCTTGCAGAAGATTCCCTGTGGTAACACAGACCAGGGAGCCACTGAGAGAATGAGACAAGGAATGCCTCACAGGGCTAGAAAGAACAAGGGAGAAGTGATACAGGATGAGGTGATTACAGAAGAAGTTTGAGGATTAGGCAGATGGCAGGCAGTTATTCAAGGCCAATTAGAAAAAGCAGCACTGCATGGTGAAGGAAAGGAGTAGATTACTCAAATGGTCAGTGGCCAACATTAAGCATTTGGCAGAATCTGGAAAATGTTCTGACACTGAAAAACACAAGTAAGTGTCACATGCTTCTAGCTTAGCGTCCTGGGAAAAAAGTGAAGAACATTTTAAATGGCTACTCCTATTTAGTTAGTATTTATCCCTGCATTCTTGGCACTAATGACTGCCAGTGGGAGTTTGACTGGTATACTGTATCAACGTATCAATGACAAAACAGAGTTGAGTTTAATTAAGATTGCAATTTAATGCCACTCTGAGTGAATTGCCAGTGGTGCCACATAAGGTTACCACTGCAGGAAGATGTTTTCAAGATAACACAGTAACAACACAGAAAAGCAAAGGTTAAGAAGGTAAAAACCAAGTAAGTATTTTAAAAAAATACACTGAAGTAATTAGTGCTCTTATTAATGAGATTTTTTTCCTAGGTATGAAGAACATGACCACAACTGCTACACGTATGCACTAGCATTCATTAACAGTGTACTGACTGCACAAGGAAAGCAACAAATGAGTAAAAGTGAATTTACAGAGAAGTTTGTGATTCCACAGACAAAGAATGCTTCTAAGTATATTACCCTTCATCAGGAACTAACCACTAAGGACTTCTACATTGTACCCCTTCCTGATCAAGAACAGTGCTGAAAATAAGTTGTCCAACTAGACATTGTGTTCTGTTGAGACATTTAATATTAGAAATCGTAACGGCTTATAATTAGGGGTTTTAACAAATCAACTGTTGAAATAAGCTCTTTTGAATCAAACATTTTTCCCATCACACGTATGGTTAAAAAAAAAAAAAAAAAAAGGCATTTGTGCTTGCATGCTGCTCAAATCTAAAGTCTGTGACAAAGCAAAATCATTTTCCTTTACTTCAGCTACTAGTAAAGCATACAGCATTTATAACATAAATCCAGTCTCATTGTCAGGTACGTTTCTTTTCCAGTCCCTTCTTTATGTTTTACATGTTATCCCTCAAACCAAGACAGACTCATAACATTAAAGGATAGTCATACAGCATCCTATCTGTAATGAACAGCAGACTCGTCTGGATCCATCACAGAGAGAAAAATATAAAAGCAATTTATGTTTAAAAGAAATAGAAAGATGCTCCAACAGTACTTCTACCTACTGTACATTGAGAAGTGTATGCTGAGGACAAAGTTTTACTGTTCATAATTCTACACACTTATTTACATATATTCTAGCTTAAGAAAACATGTTTATCTTCCCCTCTACTAGCTTCTGCAAAGTAAATGAAGACCTGAACTAGATTTAAGTCCTGTTTCCTCAACTACAGAGAAACAATCAAACCACTGTGGTTTTCCATATCTAGTTTATAATTTTGTAAACACAAACTGCAAATACTACACCCCCATCTTATTTCACTTCTTGCTAAATTCCTAGTTCCTTTAAAAGCATATTCAGAAACACAAGACAGAGACAACCAGTTTGAAATGCTCAATTCTGCTGCTGCTAAGAGCCCCCCGTCCAGAAACCTTCAAGCAATTCAGAGTTCTTTAGCTAAGATTTAGCTTACAAAAATAAATTACAGCATGCTATTTCTGAGTATATCAGAATTCATACCTCATTTTAAGTTTTGAATTTCAACTATTGAAATATAAATACATGGCCAAGTATCAGTGTCCTGGTAGAACTATATGCTATAAAGTATTTGTTGTAATAGTACTAAAGCATGAAACATAGTCATCTCTAGTTACAAGTACAGCACTGTGCCACATACAGTTGACACACATGCAGATGTTCAGCTTGAAAAAGCAATCACTCTCTTGACATTTCCTATTTACATCTTTCTCTGTAAATGACAGGATATGCTTGGATTTTAGTCAGCATTTATACATACCAACTGAAAATGCTGATAGAAACTGATGATGAGCCATTGTCTGAGGGACCAGGTGAAAAAAACAAAATGTTTATAAAAAGGATTAGATTCTTCCTCTAATTCGGTTAAAGATCATCTTGCTCACTGCGCTCACGGGAGGACACCCAACGAGTTACAATCAGTTCCTGAAGTAAAAAATAGCAACTATTATGGAAAAGATGAAAACAATCTCCATGAGATGGTCTTAAGCATTTAGCAGACCGACTTACATGACGCAATCCCAGCAAACGGATGACTACAGACATTCCTGAAGT